CATACAGTTTCCTGTTCTGCCCCATTGTAACCCTGATGTGGCCCTCGGGCCAAAAAGTTTGCCCACCCCTGCTTTGGAATGTGGACACAAGACTGGACAAAAACCTAGAAAACTGGCTGCAGGGAGCAAATTTGCCTATGGGCGGCAGGAGAAACTTCCCCTGGGGGAGGCTAGCTCCCTGTCCCATCTCTTCCGCCCACGGCCCTGCCCACATTCTACCCGGGCACTGCTCAACCCCCACCCCACCACTTGCAGTGTCCCTCCTCTCCTCCAGCCTCTCCCCCTGTGGAGGGGAGCAGCGGGCGGGGGGTCTTGTGGGGGAAGGGTGGAGGAAAGGAGGGACATGGCCGGGACCTTCAGAGAGGGGGTGGAGTGGAGGAGAGGAGGGATTCACCAGGCAGCGGTGGGGCCTTGGGGAAGGGGTGGAGCAGAGACATGGCTTAGTCTCTCCTGGTCTATTAGACCCACCACCTATGATCATGCCCTAGACATAGGCGCTGACTCCGTGGGTGCTCCGTGGCTCCAATCAAAGATAGAGAGTTACCTTCCCCGCCCTGTCTCTCTATTTCACAACCTGGCATTTCAGGACAACACGCCCTGCTACGGGCGGCAGGTATCGTAGGCAGGTGGAGGCTGCGCCTCCCCAAACAGCCTAGCGTGGCCCCCGCCCATGCTCTGCCCCCAGGCCAGGCCCCCTCCTGCTGTTCTCAGTGCTCTGCCCTGGCCCAGGCTGGCTGGCCTGCCTCCCGCAGGGACTCAGAGTGGCTGGTGCGGGGGGCCATGCCTCCAGGAGACGCTGCCGCTCGGCGCTCCAAGACTGGCCACTTGGCACCCCAGGGCTGGCGTCTCATCCCCTGGCCGCCCGGCGCTGGGGCCAGGGGCAGTGGTGGGGAGCAAAAGGGAGTGGGAGGGGTGGCGGAAGGGGAGGAGCCTCGTGCACAAGGAGAGGGGCAGGGGGTTAGCCTCTCCCAATGGCTGGGTCACCAGCCACCCCTGCGCCCTGCACTTAGCAGAGGAAAATATTTTCTGTAGATTTCCATTAGTCCTAACTGCACTTAAGGGTTGGTATTTTTCAAGCCATGACCAGATGACTCTATTGAGTAGTCTCTGGAAAGTCAGATCCTCTCAATAGGAGGGTAGGTGGCACAAGAAGGGACTTCTTGAGACCAGCCAGGCTAGAAGAAAAACAAACCACCCCAGCTTTCATTTGAATGGTGGAACCGATGCTCTTCACACAACACACACTGAAGTGGGCACGGTCCATACAGACATACAAAACTTGATTTCCAGAGGTGCTAACAACCCAGAGCTTCCACTGTCTTTATGTGCTGCTTCTTTAAGGCAGGGTTTTTTTTTTTCATTATTTACGTGAAAAAATATATTTTTTCATAGTTTTGAGCTGAACAAAAATCAGAATTTGCCAGTTTGGGGCGGATTTTTTTTTTTTTGGCAGTTTTGGGGAAAACTTTTTCAAGTGTTGGCACCTTTTGGCTGAATATTTTTTTCCTTTTTGTGTGCGTCTGACAACTGAAAAATAAATCAGGTTTTCATTTGCTTTTAAGTCAAAATTTTCTGTGGAGAAAACAAACATCCCAATTTCCAGGCAGTTCTAGTATTCGACCCTCTTCCCAGAAAAGACAAAAATAAAGTTAACTCTTGTTAAAAAGCAGGAAACAGCATTCCTAGATTTCACAAGCCCATCCTGAGCAGACGGATTGTAATCCCTGTTAGAGATGTACCAAACGTCTGCTCCGATCAGAGGCCATACAGCCGAGTCAAAGGACCCCTCACAAAGCTGTAACAAGTTGACCAAACACACAGCCCGCCAGATCCCTTACCTCCAAGCACAAGGTCTGCAGCTACTTCTCCGAAACTCCCCGATAGCCTTCTCAAGGTGGCTGGTTTGCAACCGGCTTATATACCTACCTCACAAACCCTCTCTGTTGCCAGCTCTCTCCCAGATTGCGAAATAAAATATATGTCCTGTTTGACAGCATTCCCAGCAGGCATGTTTGAGCTGAAGTTTCTCTGGCGAAAGATCTCTCTGTGCTCAGGGGAGGAGGTGGTTCTACCTGGTTCCTCTGATCACTGGGTGATGCAGGCTCAGCGGGATTTGTGCTCATGGTTTGTAAACACCAGATTTCATACACAATCCCAGTGGTGCTGGAATACATCTAATAGTGGGGGTGCTGAAAGCCAGCCCCCTTTCCCCTGTCTGTGCCCCATCCCCAGAGCTGGGGCTGAGAGCAGGGCCATGTCTCTGGAAGGGTGGGACCCGGAAAGGGCTAAAGGGGCCAAGGATGGGGCCACAGCTGAGGGTGGGCGTGGGGCCGGCAGTGGGACCCCGGGCATGGGCCGACAGCTGGGACCCCAGGCGCGGGACTGGGAGCCAGCGTGCGGGACTGGGACCAGAGCCTCAGGAGCAGGGCCAGCAGCCAGGACCCCGCCTGAGAGCCAGAAGTGGAGCCCCAGACACGGGGCTGGGACCCCACATGCAAGGCCAGGAGTGGAGCCCGGCTGTGGGGCCAGCAGCTGGGACCCCGCATGGGGATCCAGAAGTGGAGCCCCACGTAAAACCTGGGGGTGCTGCAGCAACCCCTGCACCCCAAATCCCGCGCCTATGCACAAATCTAGACAGCTGGATGAAACAGCCTCCTGTTGGAGTATTTTCCTGGATTCACAGAAGGCAGAGCTCCTGCTGTGAAGTTCAGTTCCAATCTCCTCTTCACAGAATAGGGTGATCAGATGTTCCAATTTTACAGGGACAGTCATTATTTGGGGCTTTTTCTTATATAGGCTTCTTATAGAGATCATGCAGACAAACAATAGGGAAGTGGGGACCATAATGACAAAACAATACAGAAATGGGGATTTCCCAACCACAACTACTGATAAGTGGTCTCCTGCCAAGCTCTAAGATACAACCACATTTGCTTCGATCCCTCTTGCTTTGATCCCTCAGACAGAAACAAACACCTACAGGATCTCTATCAAGCATTCTTAAAACTACAGTACCCACCTGGTGAAGTGAGGAAACAGATTGACAGAGCCAGAAGTGTACCCAGAAGTCACCTACTACAGGACAGGCCCAACAAAGAAAGTAACAGAACACCACTAGCTGTCACCTACAGCCCCCAACTAAAACTTCTCCAGCGCATCATCAAGGATCTACAACCTATCCTGAAGGATGATCCCTCACTCTCACAGACCTTGGGAGACAGGCCAGTCTTCGCTTACAGACAGCCCCCCAACCTGAAGCAAATACTCACCAGCAACTACACACCACACAACAAAAACACCAACCCAGGAACCAAACCCTGCAACAAACCCCGGTGCCAACTCTGTCCACATATCTATTCAAGGGACACCATCATAGGACCTAACCACATCAGCCACACCATCAGGGGCTCGTTCACCTGCAAATATACCAATGTGATATATGCCATCATGTGCCAGCAATGCCCCTATGCGATATACATTGGCCAAACCGGACAGTCTCTACGCAAAAGAATAAATGGACACAAATCTGACAGGAATCATAACATTCAAAAATAAGTAGGAGAACACTTCAA